GGGAGTGGCCACTGCACTCCAGTCTGGGCGACAGAGTGAGACTCCAGCTCAAAAAAAAAAAGTGAATAAGAGAGAGACAAGGGAGAAAGAAGATTCACCTCCCCAAAGTGGGGGAGGGGGCCAAAGCCAGGAAGCATGGCGACAGTCATAGTTCAAAGAGCACATGGCCACACCAGAGTCCAGCAAGGCAATGGCCTGTGAGTTGTATTTAAAGTAGAGTTGCATCCTTTGTTAAATTTGAAACACTTGTTTATGTTAAAAGCTGATGCTGAGTTTATGTTAAGAAAAACAGTTTTATATAAAGGGGAAAATTCCATAATAGTGAATTCCGTTTCAACAAGTTAACTCTGATCTTTTACATATAAAGACTGTTTTGGCCGTGAAGTGACATTCTCTTAGAGACTGATATGATATTAAAGAATGATGGTGTTCCAGAAATTTGCTAGGCAGTAGCAGGAATTCATCATTATTTCATGTTTAAGTATCATCCAGTCAGCTGTGACACTTGGTTCCAATATTTTTGCTAAAACAATCATGCTCAGAATGTACAGACCATCATAAAGCCTGTTGTGTATATTTACATTGCTGATTCTAGTGTTGACCTGAGATGTCTGCCAAGAATTAGAAATTGCTTTTAAAAATAATGTAGTTGAACCGGGCATGGTGACTGACGCCTGTAATCCCAGCATTTTGGGAGGTGGAGACAAGAGGATTGCCTGAGCCCACAGGTTCAAGACCAGCCTGAGCAACTTGGTGAGACCTCGTCTCTACAATAAATCAAAAAATTAGCTGGGCATGGTGGCACATGTCTGTGGTTCCAACTACTTGTAACGCTGAGGTGGAAGGATTGCCTGAGCCCAGTAGGTCAAGACTGCGGTGGCCATGAGTGTGCCACTGTCCTTCAGCCTGGGTGACAGAGTGAGACTCTGAATCAAAAAAAACAAAAACAAAATGAAAACAATGTAGTTGAAACTCAAAGACCGAGTCTCCTAAGGCCTAGAGTTGCCAGTACATGTGGCTTTTGTCTATTGCTTGTAAAAATTGCCAAATTTTATTACCAAGGCTGTCATTACACTGCGTTTCAAAGAAGTTGGAAGGTTCTAGTTTCACTAGGGGTTAAAACTGTCTCTCTTCTATTGATTAGGAAATGTTTTTGAGGATATATGATATAAGGACAGCTTTGTGCTGGGTAATATGAGGAGATATTAAGAGTTGTGAGAAGTTGTACTTGTCTCAAGGAGCATAAGAGAGGGGGAAGTCTGGGCCAATTCATTGTCAGCTGCTTAAAGACGCAGCCCGTGCAGGTTTAAGCTTTAACAGAATCAGACTGGCCTTGTAGGATGCAGAGTGGACAAATAAGCCATTGCTAGTAAACTTTTCAGTGGCCTTTGGGCCTAAGTTCCTTTGTTTTTAACTGTAAGGAGTCTCTGAATCCACGTTAGAGAAACTGTATCAGTTAGCTTTTGCTGTATAACAAATGACTCCAAGCCGGGCTCGGTGGCTCAGCCTGTAATCCTCCGCCTTTGGGAGGCTGAGGTGAGTGGATTGCCTGAGCCCGCAGGTTCGAGACCCGCCTGGGCAACTTGGCGAGACCTCATCTCTACAATAAATCAAAATGAGCTGGGTGTGGTAGCGCGCGCCTGTAGTTCCAGCTACTTGGAAGGCTGAGGTGGAAGGGTCGCCGGAGCCCAGCAGGTCGAGGCTGTGGTGGCTGGGAGCAGCCACTGCACTCCAGTCTGGGTGACAGAGTGAGACTCCAACACAAAAAACAAACAAACAAAACAAAATAAAAATGACTCCAAAATTTAGTGGTTTAAAACAACCATCATTCTGTTCGCAATTCTGTGGATTGGCAGTTTGGGCTGAACTCAGCTGTGTGGTTCTTCTGGTCTCGGCTGCTATCATTTGTGCATTTGTGGTCCACTGCCAGGACAGCTTGGGACTTAGGGACCCTTAGCTGTGATGATTCAGCTCTACGTGATCTCTCATCCATCATCAGCCTCACCCTGAACTCCTTCATTTGATGGCAGAAGGGTCCAAGAGTGCAAAACTGGAAGCCTCTTGACACCCAGGCTTAGAACTCCCACAAGTGTTGCTTCTGCCATGTCCTACTAGTCAAAGAAATTCACATGGTCAGCCCAGAGTCAAAGGATAGGGAAATAGACTGTACCTCCGGATAGGAAGAGCTGCAAAATATTTTTGCAATCTGCCCTCAAAGAGCCAAATAGTTCCAAAGATCACTGAGGTAAGACATACAGATCTGAAAGTTTGGCACAAAGCTGGTTGAGGCCTTAGATAGCTATGTGATCTAAGTATTGGTACTGTAGCATGGGGCCTAGCAGGTAACAGAGACTGTGGAGGCCTATGCAATATGGGAAGATGTGCTTGGGTTTTGGAGTCCAGCCTGGATTCAGATGTTGAAACTGCCACATACTGAGTTACCCTGCACAGTTCATTTAATTTTCCCCATCACAGTTTTCTTGCCTACTTCAGAGGGTTTCTTTGGAATGTATAAAATGCTTGTATATTTGGTGCCCTGCACAAAGTGAGTCTTTAGACATTGTTTGTCTTCTTGCCCTCATCTTCTGTTCCCTGACCAGAGTAGAAAATGTCTAATAATTTAAAAGAATCAGTACAAGCAAATATGCCTCTTGGGAAATATAAACACCTGGTTATCTCACAGGTACATGGATGTGCAGGACACACACGTGGATGTTCTGTGTCTGTTATCCAGGAGAGTTTCGGTATGCTCAGTTTGAACATCCCTGTAGTACAGGGTGTGCTGGCCATCCTGCCCCAGTTACTATCTTGTGTAAAGGTTGAGTGTTTAGGGAGGGTCACAAATTCTGACAAGTCACCAGGGAGCATCAGTGATTTACCGCTGAGATATGATTTGGACAGTAGAGGGAACCTAACTCCCAGCATCTGGAGAAATAAAACATAATGGTTTATTTTTTATATTAAACCGTTTTTTCCTGTACCTGAAAACTCACAAAAACATAGTACTTTTCTGTTAAGGTTTGCTAATTCAAAATTAAAGGTGAATGGGATGGAAACCAGGCTGAAGTTTGTTTAAGATAGTTGTGAGTGAAGGTTTTACTAAATAAATAGAATTAGGTGGGAAATGTTTGCTTTGCCTATGTTGTCCATCTTCATTGGTGGATCACAGTATGTACTCTCTTGGATAGACCTACCCCTAAGAGGCAAAAACTGCTGAGCCAGATAAATTCTTCCAAATTTTATCAAGTTTGTTAAGTCCTCCACCTCCTGAAGGGTAAGCAAAGTAAGAGAATCCAAAAGTATGTTTAGGGAGAAATCCTCCTCATAGAAGCCTGAAGAAAAGGTAGTTCTCTCTAATAATTTATACATATGTGATTGATCAAGTAATTAGAAATCTTATCCATTCATTCAAGGGTTTTTTTTTAAATCTCCATTCAGTAATGTAACCTAAGAGGAATTATTTTAAGTACTGTAATAGAATCCTGTTTTCTTAAGTCTTTTTCTCATTCTCTGAATTGATTGTTTTGTACTAGAACAAAAACAAGAAGGAAAACAGTAACTCTTACAACATCTGAATGATCTTTTACCTTGACCTTCTTTTATTGAGAACCTTCATTTATCATTTCATCCCACCACCAACTAGTATTAAAAAGAGTGGTCCATCCAGAATTACATAATAATAAGCTCACTGATATCTAGGTCAGTCATTAAGTATTTTGGTATTGTAAAGTACAATCTCAGAACCTATTCCCAAGGAGCATACAGTCTGGCTGAGGTGGCAAAGAGTGTGCAGTAGAAGGAAAGTGTGCATTCAAAAGGACCGGGATCAGCCAGGCATAGAAGCTCATGTCTGTAATCCCAGCACTTTAGAAGGCCGAGGCAGGACGATAGCTTGAGCCCAGGAGTTTGACACCAGCCTGGGCAACATTAGCAAGACTTCATTTCTACAGAAAATTGGCCAGGCATGGTGGTGAGTACCTGTAGTCCCAGGTACTACTTGGAAGGCTGAA